AAGTTTATAAATGTCCATTTTTTGATTATTAGTAGTGATGTTAAAAGAAAAACATAATTAACGGTAAAAATAATAATATGTATGTATGTTATAGCAGAGAATCGGATAAACCAAACCAAAAAAACAACACAAATTCTTAAGCAACACTCGAAAAAATGAGCAATTGCGAAGCAAACGAAAAACTTTCCAAGTGAATCCCCGCATTTATGAATGAAAATTTTAGCTAAACCGATATGGAAAATAAAGAGGAGTCATCCTGCTGATGAGATGACAGGGAAAACAACGGATAGGAATGGAGAAAACCCATTGAAAAGCATCAAATTGTTTACAATTTACAATGTTAAAAGAAACGAACATTTTGAAAGATATATATGCCACGTATATCTATAAATATATGTATACTAACCCACCAAATTCAAAGTATTTCAACGTTTTATACAAGGAGACGATGCGCAAGACAAGAGATCGGGACAGCTAACCCCCTGTCCTGACCCCTTTTGGAATCCAAATGCCCAGTGAAGCCCTCTCAATAAAACCAAGACACTCATCCACATTCCCATATCCATTTCCATACCCATACCCAAACCCATACCGAAAACCCATTCCCATTCGAAATACAGCTGCAACTCGAGTCAGAAGGCATCAGTTCGCTAAAGACCAAAGAAGATAAACGATTAATTGAGAATCCGATTATAATCTGTAATCATAATCCAGTCTGCAAGTCTATATAATGCATGTTAACTGTAGGCGCGGGGAGTTCAACAAGAATACGTATTCAATACTCGTAATCCAATCAAATGTAATGTGGTAGCAAGCTAGGTAAACCAAGCCAAAAATCGAACAACCATAAGTAGTTCAGCACACGCTCAGTCGCCCACGACGCGGATCTGGATCTGGCTCTAGGTCTAGATCGGAATCAGGATCAGGATCAGGATCGTAGGATCCGTATGCGGGAATCATATATCCAAAGTTTGCGAATCAAATTCAGTTTGAAACTTGTACTTGCGTAGGCTCTTAGAAATTGTACTTGAATGCATACGCTACATAAATCACTTACACATATATTTAACTATGCATATATATATATAAATATTTATATATATATATACATATATATATATAAATTTAATTGTTTTTTCCTTAACATTTAGTTAAACGTAAGATCGAATCATATTTTATGCCGTACAACCGAACAGAAAAGTGAGCAGAAAGAAATATTTATTAAATGTTTCAACTAAGTTGTATAATTATAAGTGAGAGTTTACATAATGGAATTATGTATCTGTATCTAAGCAAGAGCAAAACACTGAAAACAACATTTCGGGCGAGCGCGTCGATGAAAAAGATGAGTTGGGAATTCGAGTAACGTTAAAATATTCAGACAGAAACTTAACGCACAAGAACAAACAAGATCAACACCAAAGCAGCAGCTAAATCCCATGATATACAAAAATTAATGAACATGAACAACTTATATACTCGTAAGTATATAGACAATTTCAATAACTGATAAATATATATATAAAAATATATATATATATATACAAAGTGAAAACCAAAAGTAAAAGGTAAAACAGCAAAATCTACATGCAATTCAAATACATTTCCCATAACCGCATCAACTAAACAAGAAATCAGAAATCAAGTAAAGCAACAATTACAAACGAATTAAAGTGGATAAAACGATTCGACGAATGCGAATGAATATTATAAATTATAAATAATGGATGTGCGAACGCAAATGCTCAGCAACAAGAAACAAGAACAAATTCAAACAAAAATTGTAAGCCATTTTTTAATCATTGTCGCATTTAAGAAACGATAACAAAAACGAATACAAAATTGAAACGCGATTCATTTTGTTCAGCAACACTCAACAAACACTCATGCCACACACCCGAACACACATTCACCACATTCACACTGACATTCACTCAGTAATGAGTTCATTGCATAACGAATACAAATTGAAATACAAACATTGCGTAAAAATTTGATGGTAAACGAAGTAAAGATGACATACAAGTAATTTTAAATTGAATAAAAATTAGTATTAAATATGTACAACAAAGCTCAAGGGTGTTTTATTGACGGGCAACAGTTAAAGCAGATTAGATCGAACTTTTTCCAAAGACACGATCGTCAACTTGGTAGTTTTCCATTTAACTTACAACTAGTAACTACAATTATGCGACCTACGGACTAAGGCCCATCAAAAGGCTGGACTAGCCACATTCAGATTGACCTGGAAGCTGGCCCAGCGGTAGTCGCGGCTATCCGGATCGCGCACCAGGCACATCAGCGGCGGCTGCTTGCGATTACCCTTGCCTTCTGGGAGCTCCCCGATGAGCTGCTGCAGACCGCCGGGTGTCACATAGCCAACTGCACAGACGAGTGCCTCCGTGAAGCTGAATCCGGCCGTGCTCACGTAACCGAAGACTTGGCGACTGCATTGGCGACGCACACTGTCGCGCATCTCCGCCGGATCGGTGGGCAGCCACAGGCGGCACATCTCCTGCAGCTGGGCACGTACCAGATGAACCGTGTTCGCCGGCCGTATGTGGACACGTTTGCTGGCAGTCTCCTGAAGGCGCCGCTTCTCGCGCACCCTCCTCGATCGCAATCGCTTCAGCTTTAGCTTGTGACTCTGGCGCAGATCCTTGCGCAACTGTTCATTTAGGTCCGGCTGCGGTGGCTCCACGTGAACGGGGGCCTGGTCGTTGTGCTTTAGCTGCCTCCAGCGCTGCTTGTGATCCGCCGCCGTGGGCAGGCAAATCAGGGCGTTGTCCTTCACATGGCCACGGGACAGCAATTGAAGTTGAATCTGGATAATGGCGTTCTCGGGAGCGGCCTGTGGCAGTGGGCTACGACGTCGAATGCTCTCGGCAATCTCCTCCAGCTGCTGGCGATGTCGCAGCACATAGAACGATGATCCCTCGCTCGCAGGAGTGGAAGATGCACGCCAGTCGCGCACTAGTTGCTTCCAGGGAGCAGTAAATGGACTGACCACGGCCAACTTTCGATAGTTGGTGCGCTTGTTGGGCGGCATGCGGAAGTAGCGGGCGCGGAGCTCATCCGCCGAAGCAGCAGCTTTTTGAACTCCTAAACCGATGCAAAGTGAGATGATCTAGGGCATGTGGAATATAGATTCTGACCCACTTACCTGCTAATGTATCTGGCAGATGTATCTCGGCGCCCGACTCCCTAGCCACAGAATCCAGTTCCCGCAGTCCGCCGGGCCGGGCGCCCCACATGGTGAGTGTGAGCCAAAGGATCATGCCGTATCCGGCCGGGGCAATCACATCCCAGCCGCAGCCGTAGGCCAATCTCTTGTACCTGGAGTCCTGAGATCCTGGTCTTTGAATAAGTATTATGGGAAGTGGCTGCATTTGCTGTTCGAAGGCACATGGAGCTCCTGGCACTACGGCATGTTGTTGCCGCAGCTGGTCGTAAGTGTGCGTGGACATGATGCCCTTGGCCAGTCGCTCTCTCGCCTCCTTGCTCCACAGTGGACTCTCCGGCAGACTCTTTGGCTGATTTACGAGAAGATCGCCGGCGGACGGTGGCTGTTCCACTTTGGCGTCTGCTTTCGTACGCTTCTTCGGCCGCTGCAGGCGCGGGTCCACCACAAGGTGGCCCATCACCAGATTGGAGAGCAGTTCGGCGGGCGAGCTCAGCTGCAAGGCTGCCTGGCAGTAGTTGGCTTGATCCTGAAGTTCCACTTCTTGATGCGGACGTAAGCTGGCAAGGAGAACTTTTTGGGCTCTCGGTCCTGTCAAGCGGAAACGATTGAGCTCCCGCTGCAGCAGCACCAAATGTAGGGTGCCATCGGAATTGGAGTAGCTAGGCTGTAGATCGAATGCCTTTGTTTTTGTCCAGAAGCGAAGGGGTTTCGGTTCAGGCTTCTTTTTCGAGCATTCCTTGCCAGGCGGTGTCTCCTTGGACAACTCCACTGGCTCAGTCTTATCCACATCCATATTTTCCTTGCTTAAAGGCAGCTTTTGTTGCCTTGTGGACTTTAGCTGGAACACGCTAAGCAGCTGATTTATAACGGCCTGAGCGCCACTGGGATGCAGCCACAGCCAGAGCGTGTGATCCGCCTGTTCCTCCTCCTCCTCCCGCCGCGGCCGCCACATGAAGCTGGCCCGCTGCAGGGCTCCATGCGGATACCGACCATCCTCAAATATCTCGACGCTGCCCTCGCGTCGTCCGCTCAGAAAAGTCCGGGCCGTGATCCCCAGGCCACACTGCGGACTGGTTAGCCGGGCGAATCCTTCGCGTAGCACGTTCAAGGGCCCTCGCAGCTCCACGCAACCGTAGAACGAGATGTCCTGCAGCAGACAGCGCTCGGCGCTGGCGCGATAGCAGGCGCGGTAGGTCTTGTCGCAGCTGGCGTAGGGCAGTCGGTGGCCCCAGCGGTCAACCATGTGGAATCGCTTCGCGTGCCAGATGTGCGTCTCCAGCCAGACGTGTCGCCTCTGCCGGCGCACGTACTCCCGCATCAGGTTTTTGGGTCGCCGGCGATACTTCCTCGATGGCCGCTTCCCGTTCACCGGCTGGTTGCCGCTCTTGCTCATCTGGGACTTGTGCGCCTGGCGGTACTTGCACGGCAGCCGCTTCGGGTGGTGCGACATGGCGCGGCGGCGCATGTGCTTGGGCAGCGTCTGGAAGATTAGCTTGCTACTCCGCTGCGTCGTCTCCTGGCAGTCGGCCACCAAATTGCGAATCTCCTGCAACGCCTCGGCCGCATAATGGTACGTGGTCACGTGCGACGGCAGTGTGACCCGGCCGCCCACCGCAGCGTCGTACTCCAGCTTCTGGGTGCTCATCGGGGCTAATTAATTTGGACAGGAGTCCAATTCATCCAAAATCAAAACAAACCGACGGCACGTGTGGCGCTTACTTGTGGAACAATCTGGCAGCACTGTTCGATTGCTCTAAGCATGTTGTAATCGATGTTCACAGTTGTCAATATCGATAGGCTGCATGCACGCCTATCGAACTTCGACTCGCCTATCGATTGTGCCCACTATCGGCGACCACTAACACCAACAACGTTTCGGAATTTGCCTGCGTTTTGCTTCGTCGTCGAATTCAATATTCAATATCCCGTGTGTTTTGTGTTGTTTCCCCGCAGCTAGCTAAAAACAAATCGATATGGTGAGTGCAGGCTGTTTATTGCGGCGCTGTTTACTGTTTACGGTCGCACCGCAAGTCGCTTTTCGGCGCCTTGGAAAACCAACACTCAAGTTTCCCTCTTTGTTTTCCTTTCTTCTCCCTCTCTCTCTCACTCTCTTCGCAGGCAGCTTACACCGAGGATCAGTTGGCTGGTAAGTCGAATGAAGAAGAGCGGGGTCAAGGACCAAAAGTCGAATGTCGGCCAAATCACACATATATATATACGATATATATATATATAGAGTATTGATATGTGCGCTGGCACCTAGCGCCCTCTCCCTCCCACTGGCGCACGGCATTGGAATGCGGGAAAGCGATGGCACATATATTTGTGTGCATGAATCATTGATAAAGCAAATACGCTGGAAAGCAGCCATACGAATACGATCGTGACTCATCCAAAAACACACAAAAACGAAGCGAGAAAGTACCAAAACCGAAATTGCAATACCCTGTGCTATATGTTTGTCATGGATTAGCTGTAGGCCAAGTTTCAGGTCTTGATTTCAAAAGACACCCAAGATCTCCATGTTATCGAGCTTGCAATGTATAGAAACTATGCCAGTTATAGGTTATGATCAGCGGATTGTGTTCGGCTAAGGTATATCTTCACAGAATAGCGCCCAACGGCTGTGTACCAAGTTTCACATCAAAATCTCTTAAGACATCCAAGATCCTTCGGTTATCCGAACCCCACACCAAGTTGAATGATAATATTCATAGCAAGCAACAAACGTATGAGCTTCAGCTAGTTAGTTTCTGCCAACAAACAATCATGTTTGTAGGTCATCATGACACTAGTTATTTGAAGACATGCAAACTGGTCGCTTGAACATAGCTTTATAATCATAACCAACACCACAGTATGAGTATTAAAAAAAACACGGTGTAAGCGAAAGGAAGTCAGCGATAAGATATAGATAACAGAGCGGTCTAATGGGATAATCACACGGTTTTCTGACTCGCCGACTGCTCGTTTCAAATAAAACTGCAATTGCAGTTGCAAAAACCGAATTGCCAAGCGATAAGAAGCCAGTCAGTGCCAAAAAACAAAAAAAAAAAATGAAAAATTAAAAACAGAAAAACCGGCTTCCATTTACGGAATATCACCTTCTGTGAGTGAAAATGCAACACGATTTCGGTTCCATGGCGAATCAAATCAAATATTTACGCAATCCCCTGTTTCAACCTAATCAAAGTCAATGGTCTCTGATAATTCAATTCAGTCATGCTGACACTCTGACGTCAGCGTTCAGCCGCATATGCGTATGTACAAGCCATATACACCATATACCATATTTATTTTCCGATTCCAACTTACCTTGTTGCAATCTTTAGCCAGCCGTCAACGTTTTGTCATTGCCTAAAATGGACAAAAATGTGCTGGATTCGTTTGTTTTTATTGCCATTTTTGGATGTCGTATTCGCATGATAACCGAGCATCCGAACGTGTCATCGAATTGTGAACACTCTAGTATTCAGATCTTAAAAGGATCTGCAAATATGTATATTTGTGTATGTTGACCACAGAACTTCAGCAGCTGGGGAACTTACACCGTCACTTGTTTAAATCCAACTGCACTAGACATGCACTCGTTTCGATCCCTTTGAAACAACCATTTCGCGCAGCCTTAGGATTTCTGGGTTTATTTATTTTATTTGTAAACAGACACTTCCCGGTAGAGAAGTGGAGTTTCCCCGCAAAGTGAGGGTATCCCATGGCCAAGGAAGGCGGAGTGGCGGGCAACGGTGCCGATCCGATCCGCTCCGCTCCAATCCGATGGCCAGCCAAATCCGGACAGACGGAGTTTCAGGCAGTCAGTAGCTGGCAAAACGGTCATCGGAGTGGTTCAATATGTATTACTATACGGCGCACGTGAAGCAAACCTTTACCACACTGGAAGGTGATCCATTTAGCCATGTAGCTATTGTTTCCCCCATGCCCTCCCATTCATTTATTTGTAGTTACGTAGGTATATGTAATATATCCCAAGTATTAGGCCCTTATTGCTGGGTTTCTGTAAGTTGTGACGACAATTATACGACGATTTATAAAGCATCTGCCCACAATCACGCAATTTCTATTCGCAGAATTCCAGGAGGCCTTCAATCTGTTCGACAACCGCGGAGATGGCAAGATCCAGCTGAGCCAGGTGGGCGAGTGCCTGAGGGCCCTGGGCCAGAACCCCACCGAGTCGGACGTGAAGAAGTGCACCCACCAGCTGAAGCCCGACGAGCGCATCTCGTTCGAGGTGTTCCTGCCCATCTACCAGGCCATCTCGAAGGCACGCTCGGGCGACACGGCCGATGATTTCATCGAGGGACTGCGTCACTTCGACAAGGACGCCAGCGGGTACATCTCCTCTGCCGAGCTGCGCCACCTGCTGACCACGCTGGGCGAGAAGCTCACCGACGAGGAGGTGGAGCAGCTGCTGGCCAACATGGAGGACCAGCAGGGCAACATCAATTACGAGGAGTTTGTGCGCATGGTCATGAGCGGCTAGGACCATCCCGGTTCTAGCTGTTCAGCTACCAGCTACTAGCTGTAGCTGTCCAACTGTCCAGCACCACGACAATAGAAGCAACACTATATCCAACACAACAGCAACACTAAAACACCTGCCAAGCTAGCTGAGCCGTTCATTCCGCCAGAAGTTCCAACTCCATAATTCCAACTTAGCCATTCTTCCCCCGGATAAAGCATTAAACCAAGGACAACGACCAAGGATTATCGAGATATAACAAATACAGGGGAAAGTGCTTAACAAGCAGCTAAAAACTGAAAAACATAAAACTTCGAGATTGGAGCTATTCCCACTTCCAAAAATAACCATCGATGTAGGCATAGATTCATGATTAACCATAACTAATCACCGCGTCTGTGAATGTGCGTATTATTCTAAAATGGACACTAGAAGGTTAATCAGTAATTACCAGTCTAGTGCAGACGTTCTTTTGTACCAATCACACTCGATATATATATATTACTATACTATACTTCAATGGAAGACAGCGAGAGTATCACGAAATAGTATTTCTAAATTAAATTTGATGTGCGTCGGTGGCGCGTGTCCGTATTTAAATGCGCATTTTGAAGTTTTACATGTTTATTTTTTTTAAATAATTTAATATTTGTATTTAATAAATAATAAAATGAGATCCAATGAATGTGTAGGTCTTTTTACAAAAGAAACGTACTTAAACTATTAAACCAATTGAAACCTTAGCTCTTGCTTTTATTTCTTGATGAAGACGGAAGGTAAACAAAGAAATGGGCGGTCGAAATTATGATTCATGCAAGTTTTTGGAAACTTAACTGAAATTAAGCTAATTTTTGGTATTTTTCGGAGTTCTTGTGCTGCTTGGAGCTCTCACACATTTTTAAATACATTTTTTAATCAACCGTAATGCTAATTACAATATTCACAGCGCAGTGTAACAAAATTAAGCTTTTAATAAATAAAATAAACCTCATAAAGACGATAACTTTTTATCAAAAGTTAGAATTATTTAAATTTTGGTATTCTTTGGACTTAAATACCGCGCTTATATACGCCAGTCTGGCAGCCTTGCCCGCTCGGACAAAATTAATTTGTATACTTTATTTAAGTGGCTGCATTCCTTAACTACTCGCCGCCTACTCAGTGACTATTGACCAAGTGGCCTGCTAGTCCGAAGCAGGATGCCCCGGAACACGGAGGCGGGCGCCGGAAGTGCGGTTACCGGCGGAGTTGGCGGAGTAGGCGGTGCCCCCGAGCCCAGTTCTCCGGTCCAGAAGGTTTGGAAGCCGGAATGTGAGTGAAGGAGCACCTCTTATGCCAATCACATGCTTATGTTATGATTCACCATCATCCCCCCTCCCCCTCCTCCTCCACCACCACCACACAGTGTACAAACTGCAGCTGGAGGCACCGGCTCCATGTCCACTGCGCTGCCAGCGAACACTGCCCCTGCCGCCGGCGAAGAGCACAGCGGAGGCCGTGGAGGCCAACAACCTGGCGGGCAGGCTGTACGGGTCCGAGTACCATGGCCTGATGGGCCACCTGGAGGCGGAGCAGCTGCTGGCCAACGCCCGCGACGGCAGCTACTTTGTCCGCCGAAGCCCCCAGTCCGATGGCTACTACACGCTGAGCCTGCGGTTCAACAAGCGACCCAAGCACTACAAGCTGCTCTACAAGCCCGGCGTGGGACACTATCTGCGCGGCCAGGACAAGCGCTTTGACACGGTGCACGACATGGTCGCCGATGGGCTGATCAACTTCCACATGCAGCTCCACGCCAGCCCCATCATCCAGCAGATTAACCAGCAGACCAAGAACTGCTACCAGCAGAGCCCCTACATGACTTTAAATGGCCGGAAACTGAGAGCTCTGTCCAATGAGCTGGGCAAGGCCAACGCGAAGGAATCCCTGCCAGCCGAGGAGAAGGAGCAGAAGCAGGAGGAGCCGCCACCTCCTGCCTTGGATCCCATGCCGCTGGTCTACGAAAAGCCGCATCACTTCAAGGTGAGTTCAAGCTAAAAAAGCCAACTATAATGCAGCATCTAATCGAATCGATTCCGATCCAAACAGGTGCACAACTTTAAGGGGCTCAACTGGTGCGAGTTCTGCGCCAACTTCTTGTGGGGATTCACAGCGCAAGGCGTCAAGTGCGAGGCCTGCGGCTTTGTGGCCCACAGCAAGTGCTCCGAGCTGGTGCCGCCCAAGTGTGTGCCGGATCTGAAGCGCATACGCGGCGTATTCGGCACGGACCTGACCACCATGGTGCAGCTGGAGTCGCACCATCAGATACCCTTTGTGGTGCGCCGCTGCGTGGAGGAGGTGGAGGCCCGGGGCATGCTGCAGGAGGGTATTTACCGTGTGTCCGGCTTCTTCGACGAGATCGAAGCCCTCAAGCTCGCCCTGGATCGCGAGGGCGAAAAGACGGACATGTCGGAGACGGCGTACGGCAATGTGAATGTGATTGCCGGGACGCTGAAGCTCTACCTGCGCCTGCTACCCGTGCCGCTCATCACATTCCAGGCGTATCCCAGCTTCATGGCAGCAGGACGTGAGTCATGGCCTACCACAAGCTCATCCCATTCTATCTTTTTCATCTGTCATCTGTTGCAGGCACCAGCAATCAGGCGGAGCAACGGCAGCTCATGGCGGAGGCAGTGCGTCGCCTGCCGCCCGCCCACCACTCGTGTCTGCAGTACATGCTGGAGCACCTGAAGCGGTAAGTGTGTGTGGCTGCCAACATGGGCACTGTGCTCTAAAGCAAACCCTTCTGTCCGCAGTGTGGCCTCCCACTACGCCGTGAACAAGATGAACGAGCACAATCTGGCCACCGTGTTTGCGCCGACCCTGATTGCCACGCCCCAGCACATGACGAACCTCACGGAGGAGATATTCATGCTCTCCTCGCTCATCACCCACTGCAATACCATATTCGCCCCATCCTGAGCAGCCTGGCCACCAGTTACCAGCCATGGTACGCATGCTATCCATGGTACCCCAATTAGAGGAGCACGGCGATGCGAATCGCCTGTCCACCGGCCCACCTGTCCACCCGTCTCTTTCGAAACGAATCCTTAACTTTGGCACGTGTCCGTGCCACGGCGATTCCACCAAAAAGAACTTAGCCTAAGATCAAATGTCTGCATCGAATGCCGAATGCTGCGGCTCGATGCTTTTTACACAACTTTTATCTGCACGAAACGCAGGGAGGGCACACAACAGACCCAGTAGAACACATTGAATGTTGAGGAGTACGAATTTAGCGATTTTTGGAAATCCTTTTACGCGTTTACTATTTTGCGTCACAATAAAGAAGCATATTTATTATACACACACATACGCCATACACGCATGTGTGTGAACGTGGCCAACGCCGTTTGTTGGTATGGAATAGGCATTTAGCCCGAATTTCGAACAGGGCAGGCGCGCAGTTTACTGGCAGCACGTTTTTCCCAACGATTTGGTAGGACCGAGTTTTCCTATAAGAGCAGGGCACAAGGCAAAATCACTTTCGATCTGAATTCACCGGGACTAGTCGACTGATTTCTCTATTTAATTCTCTATTTTGCTGGCCAAAAAGTTAGATTGTGCTCTTTCCAAGTTTCTTTGTTTTTCGGTCACAAAGTTGAATTGAATTTCGATTTGAGTTTCCGAAGCAATACGAAATGCCGAAGGACGTGGCCAAAACCAAGGGCGGCTACATAGCGCTGAGGAATGATGCGAGCGACGGGAAGCCCGGAACATCGAAGCAGAGCAGGAATTCTAACAACATTGAGAGTAAGCTGAAGGAGATTAAGGGGCAGAAGCCGCACTTCACCAACTTGGCCGGCTGCCTGACGGATCTGGTGACTCCAGTGACTCCAGTGACGGCCAAGGTCATGACCAATAAGACCAAGAACACGGAGATGTGAGTTGTGAGCTTGCTGCTAAGCTGTATTTTGTGCCGCCAGGCAGTCCTCATGTTAATCTTAAAACGTTTTTATTCCTTGCCACAAACTTGGCCATTTCCAGTAGAAATATATCGAAGGTACACAATTGCAATCGTATTACCAATACTACTCCTATTGGCAACATGTACTCAAACTCTTCTTCCGTCCCCAAACGCGTGTAGGAATCCGGCTGACCAGAACAGCGACGACGATGCTGAGGACCAAGGCGATTATGGTGGTGCTGGTAAGAGCGCAGTTGCTGGTGCCGCTGATGCAGATGCGGAGCAGAAGAGCACGCTGTTTGCTGATACCATGGCATTCGTGGTGCAGCCGGATGGCTCTCACAAGGTGTTAACCTCGCGCGACCCGGTGAGCGAGGAGGAGCAGAATGCACCCATGCGTGAGATAATCGTCGGCGATGGCGTGCTCGTCATCTTGACCGGCGACAATGGCGAGGTGGTCTACCGTCCCGATGACTCTGTTATCATCGATGTCGAGGATAGCCGCGTCTTCGTGGTCGGTGCCCAGGAGAATGATGTTACATACATCGAGGATGACGATGGCACCGGGATGGAGGAGTAGTGCGTGCGGGGACCGGATGCCAAACCAAACGAGCCAAATATACTGTTTACACTAATTGAATTAAATAAATATGCAAAGCATTTGAATATATAAATATTTCGTCATGGCTTACCAAGTTGAAAATCCAAACACTTGTAATCATAGTAGCATAGCAGCCTTTGACTTCCACGTTATCCGTCCAGTGCTTTGGATCAGTCATTGTATCGCTCGGAAGTGAAATTCTCATTTCTCTCTCGGAACAAAATTTCGCTTTTAAGCCATTCGTTTTTGAAATCCTTGTATTATAATGCTCCAGAACGTGAGGCAGGTGGTGGTGGCTCCTGGGCGCCCCCGCATAGGAGTCTTCTACAAGCAATCGGAGCTAATGCGAATGCTGCCCGAGATTCCCAAGCTGCGTAGCTTCTTCGATCTCTTTGTGGTCAATGGACGTGGCCTGGAGGCCGGCGGAGAAAAGCTAGAGGGTAAGTCATCGCGCACTAGCATCCGTGTCCACCTAATGCTTGCCCTTCATGTAGCCATCGTATGCATGGAGCGTTGCATACGGCTGAGGGATGTGGCGGACTGCCTGCGCACCATGGGCCTGAGTCCCAGTGACGATGCGGTGCGGAAGCTTCTGGAGGAGCATGTGAGTTGGCGCGAGGCGATGGGTATAAACATCGCGCAGCGGGCCACCTTCGTGCTGGTGCTCACGCTCTACTGCCAGCTGGCCGAGCTGGAGGCGGAGAAGGTGGTGGTGGACAAAGGTTCCTTCGTCGAGAACGCACTGCGCGTGCTGCGCAGCCGTGATCCGCAGGGTACCGGCATGCTGCCCTACAGCGAGCTGCGCCGCATGCTGACCACCATGGGCAACCATCGGCTGGAGGAGACGGAGGCGTACGGCGTGCTGCACCGCGCCGTCGACATTGATGGCAATGTGCACTATGAGCACCTGGTGCGTCAGCTGTTTGCCAAGGATCCGCTGGCGGAGGAGCGGCTGCAGCAGGCGCAGCTCTTTCTGCAGGCGGTCGGACGCAATGCCATTGACATGGACATGAGCAAGCGGGACGAGTTCATCCATGCCATCCGGCTGGCGGATCCCATGTCCTCCGGGTACATTCAGCCGGAGCGCCTGCTCGAGGTGCTCAATCGCAACGATGAGCAGTTCACCAGCGAGGAGCTGAAGTTGCTCACCGAGGGAATGGAGGACATCCAGTGCGACCGTGGCATCAACTATCGCCGCTTCCTGCAGCTTATCATGAACGAGTAGTGCCTGGAGTGCTGCACTCTTAGATCCCTTGGCATTCTGCTGGCAGCTGCTGCTTTTTCGTAAATCCACTGTGAAATCTCGAATCGAAATTGCATTAAATAAAACCGCGTTCTTTTTGTGCGACGGTCCGGCAGCACTGGCTGTTCTATTTTTAGATTGCCCCTATGTTTCGGATCAGCCCAGTGCAGGGCTGCCAGATCGGGAGAACACTGCTTTACTCGCACGCTCTCTACTCGAATGTAAGGCAAATGTAGAATGTAATTACCATGCACAATACATTTTTGAAAATATCTACATTACAGCGTATAATACATGGCATATCTTACGCACGTATTACTACATTACATTTACACGACATGTGCCTGCATTACATCGTGTAACAGCAAATTAGTTTACGTGTCAGAAGCATTTGACATCGCGTAAAAAGTGCCTTACACCTTACACCTTTTGACATGGAAAATAATATGTAATTTGTGAAACAATTGTTTACAATGTAAGTTTTAATAGATATGTAATCCATTCTTTCTGTTAATAATCTGAAGCCGCTAAATGGAAACATCCCAGAAATAAAACCAAACCATGTTTATATTTTATATATCATCCATTTTATTTCATCTAACTTTCATATATAAGTATGTGTATTGTATGTGGATTTGTTTTGTTTTTTCTTCTCTAAGTAATTACACAATTTGCAGTTACCTATGTATCTTTGTTCTTGTCTCAAAAAGTTTGAACCTGAAGACAAAAAAAAATTACAGAAAAATCATAGCAGAGGCAGTGGACTGGTTTTTTTTTCGATCGTGAGATATATAATATATTGGATTGATTGAATTTTGATTTGGTATGTACATTTTTACAGGACGTAAGACATAGGATACAAAAAAAAAGTCACTAATTTTAAGTCGCAAAAAAAAGGGTCTTAAAGTATAAAAAGCCTTGTTTCGAATGGACAACTAAATTAAATCACATTTAGCATATTTTAAAAATTTCGCAAAATCGTTGCAGCTCATTTTACGCGCTAATGTCTTGTGTTTTACTGTTTAATCCGTCATGCGTATTGGTAATAATTTAATATTTACACTAAAAAAAAATGAGAGAATATTTGTTATTGTATATAGATTAATTACGAGTGCTCTTAGGTGTATGAAAAAAAATGTTTTCTTTGCTTTAAGATTAGGTTTTTGTGTTTCATTTTCATTTTCATTTTGCTTTCGTTTTGTTTTCGTTAGTTTTATTTTTCATTTGCTTATTTTTCTGTCATAAATGTAATGCTATTAATTAATACGATTTCTATCGTGGGCCGTGAAATGTCGCCCGTTTGCGCTTACAAATTCTTCATTGCATTTAGCCGGATGTGTTTCGAATCCTGTAGGTTTATCGTTGTCCTTAGAACAACACATCGATGTACATGTTTCATCTGGGTCCCAAGTGCGCCTGCTCCTGCTTCACTTTCAGCAGCAGCTGCTCCTGCAGACGCATCTCCTCGTCGTGGTCGTCGCAGATGTCTATCTCCGGATCGGCGTCCGCATCCACATCCGCGTCCACGTCCGCATCCGCGTCCGCATCGCCATCGTTGTCGTTGTCGTGCTCGTTGTTGTTGGTGCTGGTGTCGTTGTCCACGGGCTCCACGTCCTCCTCCACCTCACAGTCCTTGTCCAACTCCATGTCCTCGATGTCGTCCTGCTCCTCCTCCGCCTCCGACTCCGCAATGGTCACGGCTGCGGATGCGGACGCGGAGGCCACTGCCGCTGCTGCGGCGGCCGCAGCGTTCCGTGCGTTTGCTGCTGCTGCAACAGCTGCTGCGGCCGCTGCAGCAGCCACCGCTGCCTCAGCATAGCCGGCTGCAGCATTGTGATGGTGCATGTGGTGCACCGCATGGTGGTGCTGGTGGTGGTGATGCTGCTGCTGCTGCGCCTGCTGCTGTTGCTGCTGCTGCTGCAGTTGCTGCAGGTGGTGCAGATGCTGCTGCTGGTTGTACGGGTGGTGTGCCGGTGGCCCAGCTGAGCCCGAGCCCGAACCCGAGCCCGAACCCGCTCCCGAACCAGAACTGGATCCTGAACCCGAGCCCGATCCTGCCACTTGCTGCTGCTGCTGCAAGGCGCTCTCTGCGGCGTGCAAGTGGTGGTGGTGGTGATGCTGCTGCTGCTGTTGCTGCTGCTGCTGCTGCTGCTGCTGGTGGTGCAGCAGCATGTGGGCGTGTGCCTGCGCCTGGGCATGAACGTGGGCGTGATGATGGCCCTTGTGGTGGTGATGGTGATGGTGGTGTCCCTTGCCACCAGCGGAACCCGCCGCCGGCGGTGGTGCGTCGAAGAGGAGACGCGAGATCGAGAAACTGGAGATCGGTGAGTTGTGTGTGCTGCCCGCCGAGTAGCTGGTGTTCGTATCATCCGAGGTGGGCGTCTCCCGGTCACTCTCGTCGCTCTTGAGCAGCTCGGCAGCCTCCAGCGACTTCTTGTGCATGCCCAGCAGCCAGGGCGCCACCGACTCATCCTCCTTGGCCGACTTGATGATGGTCTCCGGCAGCGGCAGCGAGTGCCTCACCATCGCCCCATACAGTCCGTACTCGGCCATTTTGGTGCTGTGGCCCCAGCACTTCTCCGTTTTGCGCCACTTGGCCCGTCGATTCTGGTACCACACCTGCGGATTGGGTAGAAAGGATGCGTCAATTAGTGGGGGCCAACTCTAGTCCATAGCACACTAGCTTAATCTGTTATCACAATCAAACGCATGCCCCATAATTGCTTCAGTGCACTGAATCGGCGGATTAAATTAAGAAATTATTGGGGGCTTATTGGCGAGCACAAAAGAATGCGCAAATCTGGGAAGGGCAAAAACTAATTAATTTAACAGGGCGCCTTCCCCTTTGTCACAACAACACCACTTGTTCAAGTACTTATTAGCAACAACATTAAACATTAACAAGAAAGAGGAAATGCTGCCAGCCGACGACATTAAACGGTCAATTTTCAATTTTCGCCAAGTTTGCGGCCGCTTGCGCCCGCTTTCCCCGGGGACAACTTAATCTGCTGTCGTGAAAAGTTCAAGTTTTCCCAGGGTTGCTGCTGCAGCGACATGTGCCGCAATTCTCCGAGGACCAAGAAGCACGGAGCAAGGACGAAGGCCGAAGGACGATGGCACAAGGAACGAATCGCTTTAAACTCCCCCACCATTTCGCCACGCGGCGAGCAGCTCACAAATTTGTATTTTTTATTCGAGTCGGTGTGATGTCAACATTTGCATTTACATTTGTTTGCCTTGTTTATTGTTGCACTTGAGCGGCAACACGAAAAAAGCAAAGCGAAAACATGGCAAATTAAATCTGCTTGAGTTGACAACACTTAACACCCCCTCGCATCTGTATCTGTATCTGCGTCCGAATCCGAATCCGAATATGTATCTGTATCTGAGCCTGAGTACGCATGTAGCTGTTCATGAAGCCGGGGGATGCGGCCCTTCTGGGCGGACTGGCTGAAACTCAATCGGTGTGGCTAATGCCATGATGAATGGCCTTTTGAAAAGTGCCTAAAAAACAGCTCAATCGCCTGTGCCATTAAAAGTAGCTTTGGAAATATGGAAACATTTCAATTGCGATTCTTCAAACTCGTTATCAGCACCTTACTCGTATCAGCTTATGAACGGAACAACTTTGCTCATCCAGTAGTGAATTGAAACTAGACCAACCATACTAAAGTTAAAAAATATGGGGGGACACGCCTGTGCTGCACAGCCATAACCTCCTTTGTTTAAATGTTAATTACATAATTATGCATAATCATTTTTAATTTCGCTTTTTGTGCGCTGATATTAACAGCTCATTAAAAGCGCGGCAGAGAAGAAAGGCAAAAGTGTGTAATTAATGCAAGGAGCAACGAAATTATGCAAAATTACAAAACAAAAACCAAAAAAAAAACTAAAAATAGATGGTGCACTGCATTTTGCAATTTGCAATTGTTAGTGAGCTCGCTGTTACGTTTTATTGCAGTAAAAAATGTGCACTTTAATAGGTGTTAAAAGCAGCTTTGACTTTATGTGTGCAATTCATTTGCATTTCTGCAAAATTACTTGGAAATGCATTTGGCTCACACGCTTTAATGGTTATTGCATTTAGCAGTGTATTTTCCCCTTTCCAATCTTATCAAGCAATTTCACATCGATTTATTTAATGGTTATCCTACTTGCTCAAACTCAAAAGTTTCGAAATTCCTGTTTCTTTTGATTTTATTTTTCGGGCGAAGAACCCTTGAGAAATTGAAAATTATGCAACTCTTTTGCTCTTTTTTTATGTTCGTCTTTGAAGTGCAAGTGCAGTTTCTTTTGTCTTTCGAAAATCGCGTATTGAAAGTGGCATTTTTATGGCATTTATGGCAATTTTGAAAAATTTGAGCATGCGGTGAAGTGCAAGTGCATTTTTTTCTTTCCATTTAGCGCAATATGCATTGTTTAAATCGAGATTGTTTTTTGTTTTCTCAACTGGGACTGCTCTTTGTTTTCCCTCTTCTCTGCTTACATGTATGTGTGTGTGTGGAAATTAGCAAGCAAAAAGGGGCGAAGTAAGCGGCAAGGAAATTGGAAAATTGGCAGACAATGCAGCTCCTAGCTTCGTCCTTGTCGCACCTTCAACAGGTGACAAAAGTGTCTTATTGCCCAGCTATTTCACTTATTAACTACGTGAATAGTTGGTAATAATATTATCTTAACAAATCTGGGCTTGTTAGCCATGCTAAGTAAATACTTTGCTTGGGGCACATTTGCTGCCCAGAAAATTGCAGCTAAAAACTGGTTTTACTAGTTGGTTTTCCGACACTTTTGTCGCCTGTTCGTTAACTTTTGGCAATGGCAACGTTTTTTGGCAGCTCGCAAGAGCCAAAAAGCGCTAACTAACAGCCAATAAGTGTAAGTGAGAGAGAGCACGCGCTTCCAGAGAAAGAGAAAGAGCGAGTGAGGGAGATGGACTGATCAACGTGTTTGGCCATGTTTCTTTTGCTTCGCTTCGAGGGGAA